GAAAGCACAGAGTGGTTCCAAATGTTTTGGTAGTTCATCTCCTCATTAACTAAAATTGTCAAATGTACTTGTTGTTGGCCAGAAGCCACCTGAACTTAGCATACAAATGGTCAAACAATATCCTATTAGTAAAAGCTTGAAGAAAACTTCTTCTTTGCACAGCACACTGTCATTGACCGATCAAAGAACCCAGAAAGGTCATCTTATTCCCCACCGATCCTCAGACTGACCAAAATTATTTAATTTAACTGTGGCTGCTGGATTCGAGCCCAGGTCTCTACGGCCACAACATAGAATTCTCACTACTAAACAACAGCCATAAGATGTATCCTTTTACTAAACTAAGGCTTGTTAAACTTAAAATCTAAAATTATAAAAACTGGATGCCTCGATGAGATAGAAAATTGCATGACAGTTGTGGGATTTAACCCACGCCCCTTCGGACCAGAACCTAAATCTGGCGCCTTGGGCCACTCGGCCATACTGTCAAGAACTGTCTAGTATATCGGAAGAATAGATCATAATCCGTAGTTTATATCTGACATCTTCAGAAACAAGGCCAAGATTAATGGACCAGCTAGACACCTACAGAACAAATTATATCTCTATGTAACTAATCATTAAGAATCTATTCCAAAGTATTATTCAACAAAGAACAAATTCTACACAACCCTTTGACATAAATACAAACACAAACCTAATTCACCTTAATCAATTAATTCTATACATACTAGTCATTAAGAATCTATTCCAAAGTATTATGTCAACAAAGAACAAATGGTTTACCAGATCCACTAGCAAAAGGAGCTCGCCCATATTTGATTTCCATTACTTTTATTTCGGTGCTTATGTGTTTTTCGTTGTTGGATGTATCCTTTAGATCCTGGAAGCTGATCTCTAAGAAGTGGCAACAATGATGGGACTTGAAATAGTTGTTGGATGTATCCTTTAGATCCTGGAAGCTGATCTCTAAGAAGTGGCAACAATGATGGGACTTGAAATAGATGTCACTGGGACGGCCGATGCGATTTAGCCTCCGCGTCTGAAATAAAGCAGAACCTGTGGATTCGTGGAATAGCTAAGTTTCGCAAGTTGCCAATGTTTGTCATCAATGTATCCTCGTAACTTTTTTCACAAGCAACCGTGCTGAAAAAGAAAACCAACTTCATTGTTGTTTTTATCTTCCTGGAACAATCTTTTGCTGATATGAAATTTCCATAACTAATGGTGCTCGTACTGTATACAATGTGTTCAATTGGTATCAAGGTTTCTTTTCATGGGCTGCAGTCGAATACCATGGCACAACGGTCAAGGCAGTGCACATGATTCTCGATAGGGATTCGTACACCTCTAGATCAGGGCTTCTTAACATAAATTACTCAGATTGAAGATTGAAGATGATGCTCTGAAACGAGCTGCTATCAGTTGAATCACGTTGAATCATATCATATCCGCTCAAATGCCATCCAACTAGCTGCTATCTACACTTGATGATGTTCTTGTTAATCAACTTCTCCTTTTGTATTCTTGTAGGAGGTTCGTCTAGCAATCGAGTATATCGTTATTCCCTGTGGTGAACCCGTCGAACTTCTTCCGAGACGTTCTGAAATAATCGGCCACCAGCTTTAGCTTGTCAAAAGGTATCAGTTGAATGCAGAGAACTCAGGCACTGAGCTTAACCCGAGGCTGCAAATTCTTGCTCATAGATTGAACAAAAAACTTTCATTGGAATCCCTCGAAACCACATCGGATTTACGAAACGAGACCAGACTGAAACCCCTAACTTATAGCAATGGCGGAACAAGTGCAACTGGGCTTCCTTCCTGCCCGAATAAACATTAATTCAATCATATGAATCTTTGATTGATACAAAGTTCCAATTCTTGTACAGTTTATCTGTACGTTATGTATATCTCACCATGTAATTGTTTGATACTGAAAAATGTAAAATTGTACTACAATTAATCACAATGCCATTTATCATCATTCTCTTTCTCAATCAAACTTTTTACGTTGGAATCCTGGTAGGTATTCCTTTTAGGCAAGATAAAAAATAGGGAGTGAAGGTCAAACCATGACACAACCGGACCGGTCAAATTATAGTTTTTACCGGCTTAAGCGGTTTTATCGGATCGATCAATTATTGATTTAATGCATCACACCTAGATCTGGTAAACTTGATCTGAATCTAATTACCTGAAATCAATTTATCAAGTCCGAGATTCGATGTGGGCCCAAATATGATGGTCTAAACTTGAAACAAAGTGAACTAAAGCAAAATCAAATCAAATTTTAGTTTGACTCACATAGATTCGTATCTAAATTAATTTGAATCGAAAGCAAATCAAATAAAAAATAACCAAATTGAAAATAACATAGATTGAAAGCAATTCAAATATAATTTATCTAACTATGATTTGAACTAAAGATTGACATGAATTTAACGTGATAATTGAGTCAAAATGAATGAATAATTTACTTTTATTATTATTATCTATTTTTAATAATGTTGTAAATAATAAAATAATATATGTTTCATTGTCGTTTTGTATTCCACTAATAGTTAACCACCGTATTTGATAATAGTTTAATGATTCAATATTATTATACTAGTAGTTAAACACTACGTTTTTTTATTATTTATTTTCTAAATCGATTGGACAACAAAAAGCTCAACCTGAATTGACTAGAAAATATAAATGTTGACTCAAATAGAAAACTGATCAATTGATATTGACTCGACTCGAAATTCAACTGATATGATATGACTTGATCTGAAAATTGATCGATCCAATATTAAACTAACTCGCAAATTATCTAATATGGTATGGTTCTGACCTAATACTTGACTCGAATCAACTTATCATAGACTTCAACTAAATTTAAACCAGGTCAATACTTGACTCAAATCAACTTATCATAGACTTCAACTAAATTTAAACCAAATTTGATTTGGCCTCAATTCAACCTAAATCTAATACAACCTAAACTCAAAATGATCTGACTTGAAATAACCTGACCTGAACCCAATTTGAACGTATCGATTATCAACTCTAAATTATTCAAAATAATTATTTCTCTGACTAATTTATCAAAATTCATATTTTTCGGTATTTAAACTTTCTTCTTATTATTTTCCTAAATTAAATCTAAAATTATATTTTCCATCACTGGAGTAATTATTCATTTAGCATTTTCATTTATGATTATTAAAAAATCAGTTAAAAAATAACAATGAAAAACATTTCATGAAAGTTATAGCAAATAGCAAAGAACTTATGAATGGGCCAATCCAGAACATAAAGGCCCTATCTTCCGCTCACAGTATTGTACCTTAAGGCCCACTTTCCCAACGTACAACAACCAATTAGCTAAAAAAATATCACGTCTCTCTGAAATTATCTAGGGTTCTCTTCATAAAATACACCCAAAGAAAATTACAGTACTCCGAAGCCAAAAGAGGAGAGGTAAACACACACACACAAATATTCTCGGAAAACTTCGGATTCTTTTCTCAGGAAACGGGTAAAGGTTTGTTTTATTTTCTCTCGTCTGCAGGTTTTTAAAGAAGAAAGGGAATTGTGTGTGAAGGATGGCAGGGAAAGAAGAGAACCGAATATTTGTCGGAGGATTATCATGGGATGTCACCGAACGACAGCTTGAGCACGCGTTTAGTCAGTTCGGGAAAATTCTTGAATCTCAGGTACCCTTTCTTTTTGGGGTTTCAAATAATAAATAAATTATGTTTTCTCTGTTTTCCCCCCTTTCCATGTTATGTTTGGTTGCCTGGAGATTTAGGTAAGAGTAATTGTTGAGTGTTTTACAAGTTGTGAACTTTGTGGGAAAATGGGTTGTTGAATTTGCCATCAATATTGGATGAATATTATACGCTTTAGCAAATGGTTTAAATTATCGAGAAGTGAAGCTTTTATTATTACATTTTTTACATTTTCCCGGTAATATTATTAAATGTTGAATTTGCTATGATACTTTAAACATGCACTGCTGCGACTTTCGTATCTACGTTTTACATATTTGTTGTTGATAGAGAGAAATTGCATCTATATATTGGGGTTGAAAATAATGTGTTCAGTTTTCTTGTTTCTCTCTTCCTCATCAAATTAATTCTTCTTGTTTCTTGTCTTTTTGAATTGCTTTAAGAACATTTCAACATGCTGTGGATGGGGTTTCTAGGGAGTGTTTTTTGTCAGGGTGACTGCATCAAGTTGTGGAAGTGCAAAGCATCTCTATTTATAATGCTCAAGCACAAAGTATTTGTTTAATTAAGATGTATGCTTCATGGAAGGGAGATGAAGTTAAAACCGATTGTTTTAAATTATGATATGGAGAAACCGTTTTGTCGGGATAAAAGGATCCTTGCATGCAGGAACAAGCCTTATGTTTTTTTGCTTTATCTGTGAATTTTAATTTTGAAGAGCCCGAAATGACCCTTGAGACTGTCTAAAGAAATATGCATTGTTTTTTAAGTGGCCGTTTGTGGTAAGCATCACATTGAAGCTTTGGTGGAGTTGGTTCAGAAAAATTTATGGCAAGACTGTTGTTTTTCTTTTTCTTGGACGACAAATGAGTCATCAGTTTGTGTCAATTTTCCTTCGAAGAGGATCAGAGTTTTGTCGAGATATCTTTTCCTTTTCTAAGGTATATGAAAGCATTTATAGACCTTTCTTACTTGTGAAGTCCTTGTGGAGCCTTATGTTGCTGTACAATTCTCTGTGCCTGGCCTTTTGTTGTTGTGGAGTGTGCCACCTTTGTCTCTACTCATTAGCATCCAGTTTTCTTGGCCACTATGTTCGAAATGATGACAAAGAGCAGCTGTGTATAATCCTGCATGATTATGTAGTTTTCCTTGAGGCATGGTTAGTTCTTTGGATGGGATTGATATCATCATCTCGGCTGATGTGGTTAGACTGTGGCTTAAGATACCTTTCTTGGCCTTATTTTGAGATTTTTTTATGTTGATTTCCTTTTTGCTGTCATCTAACATTCAAAACTAGTTTAAAACTAAACGTCTGATCAGTCTGAAGACTTGATCCATTGATGTTCGTATAGCAAGTTCAAATCTCACTCTTTCAATTTCGTACCACCGCTCAGCCAATCAGTTTAGCAAGCCCGGATTTGTTGTTATTTTTTTTTCTTGCCTCTGCTGAAAGCTTCAAGAGCCCAAAGGTTTTTTTATTGCGAGATCCAAATCTGTTATTTTTCTGGGACTGCATCTTTATGGCAGATAATAGATCAAGCACTCTCTATAGCAGTTAGTTTTGGATGCTTATAGCATTGTAGTGACTGTGCTATCTACCTCAGATTTTATAGTAACAGCCTTTCCGAATTTATCCAGTTGTGTTGACCCAGAATGCTGAAACTGTAAGTTACTGGACTCGCTATTTGTGGCAGTTGGCTGAACCCGCTTTCGAATCTCTCCTCCCTAACTGATTGCACATGGACATGAGAAGTACACTATTTAGCATATAAAGCCTGATGATGTCCCTGCTTCTCATGTTATCTATAGTTGCAGACAAATCGATTGATATGGAAAATGTTTTTGGCTTGGTAAGGATTGATTTTAGCCCAACCACGGTGTCTATTGTTTGTTAACGCTGACGGTGGAAATTTAACTATAAAGGGGAAGACAAACAGAAAATCAGAAAGAAAACCATTTATTTTGACCATATGGAGGTTTTGATAAGTTCTGCATAAACTGTTATTCCGATTCCTGTGTGAAATGAGATAAGGTCAGAGTTCTTTTTTATCAGATCAGAAAAGGGGAAATTTTGCAGTATCTTCTGTTCTGTTTTAAGAATCTTTGCAATATCATATCAATGCATAACAAGGAGAAAGTAAGTTATGCTTCCTTCTTTGTTCCCCTGACTGTGTTTTCAAAGTTCATTTATTTCATTTCCATAGATGAAGTTGATGAAGTTTTACTGGAAATATAATTTGTTTTATGAATTTTGCAATTTTCCCTATATCACCATGTCACTCCCTTCAACTTTTCTCTTTTTATTGTAAAATCGAACTGTCTGGTGATATAAGTAATTGATGCACAGTAGTTCAGAGACATAATTGTCTAGAGTGATGTTCTTCAAATTTATTTAATGTCTCGAGCTGCAGAGCTGAATTCATCATGAGCTAAAAGATTGTTGATCTACATCTTTTAATCTTTTTTGTAGGGTATTGTATCCATGTCACTTTCTTGTATCCATGTCACTTTCTTCTATCCTTTAATGTACAAAATGATGCAAGTACTTGTTTGTTTCTTTCTGTGTTAAAGTGCATATGTATGCTGTATAAATCTATTTGCAGCGTTTAGTACTTGCTTTACATATTCTTTGATTTTCGGCATGAGAAATTTGCGTGCATGTATGTAGATCATGGTGGAGAGAGATACAGGGCGATCTCGTGGATTTGGATTTATTACATTCTCAGATCGCCGGTCCGTGGATGAAGCTATAAGGGAGATGCATGGGCGAGAGTTGGGGGAGCGCACCATCTCGGTGAACAAGGCTCAACCCAAGATGGGTGATGATCTTGATCATGGCTATAGAGGAGGTTACCCATCGAGTGGCAGGGGTCGTTATGCAGGTGGAGACAGGCCTGTTGCACAAGATGAATGCTTCAAGTGTGGGCGCTTTGGGCACTGGGCTCGTGATTGCCCTTCAGCTGGTGGTGGACGAGGTGGGAGTGGCGGGATGGTCTCTTCACGTTCAAGATATGGTGGAGCAGATGACCGTGGTGATCGCTTCAGAGACCGTGATCGGTACATTGATGACCGTTATGATGGTGGACGCTTTGGAGATAGGGACCGTTTTGACAGCAGAGATGACAGATACGGAAGCCGAGATCGTTTCATCAGCGACAGGTTTAAGCTTTTTCCTAATGTTAATGCACAGGTTTGACATGCCTGTCATATCGATTCTAATGTTTCCATAAACAAAGCAGGTATCCGCCTAGTGGAGATCGATTTGCTGATCGCTATGGTGGTTCGGATCGTTTCCCGCAAAATGGCTACGGCAAAGAGAGGGGGTTTCGAGATGTTGCTCCGAGAGGTAGCGATAGGTATGGAAGCGGAGGGCCAGCACGGAATGATGGAAGAGGGTACCGTAACAGGGCTGGCCCTTATGATCGTCCGGGCATGGGAGGCCGCCGTCTTCGTTTGACCGCTATTAAGCGATGTCGTTATGATATGTGGAGTTCTAGGCGAGAGCAGTATGAATGCATAAGTACTGGTGTTTTATCTAATCAATGGAATCTGGAATTTCTATGAATGGTAGGATTTGACCAAGTTTTAATTAAATTAGAGAATCCGTTCCCCATGTGATCTTATTTCTTATTGGATGAATGTTTCACGCCTTAATTTTTGGCCTCATAATGCCCTCATTACTTCCGGTTGATGCGCAGAAGTCTCTGTTTATGGTCTAATCATATTTCATCAGTAGTTCAGATCAATTAACAGATTCAGTGTTTTATTCATAATCGAGAGTTCACAAGGACTATCATTTTCTGTCATGGTTGAAAAGTTGGTGATTTGATCAAACTGACGCTGTTTAATCGAATATTTACCTTTTTATCACCGTTTGATATATATTTCTCGAAGTGGTATCTTTTCGGTTGAGCTGGCGAAATGCGCATTCCCGGGGACGTGATTTACACGGGTTTTCGCTGAGTTGGATGCCACGTGTGGAAGGCGCATCCCCGGAGACGCGCCTTCACGGGATTCTGATGACTCGGTTACCACGCTGGTATTTTGTTTAATAATAAATATTTTATTTTTATTATTTTATAAATTAGTAATATATTATGTAAAGTGTTTCGATTATAATGTAAGAATTATCAAATGTATTTTGTTAATGTGTACTAAAGGTGGAGTGAATTATCTACATTAATATGATAGAACAATATATGAAAATCAGTTTTGATTTTATTGTAGTTATAGGAAAAATGTATGAAATTATAATATTACACATATGGTTTATATTATTATTTTTGATTTTGATTATCGATCTATTAATTTTATCAGTTAATTATTTAAATGTTATCAATTTAGTCATCTCTTATCAATATTTAACGAAAAATATGATGCATAAGTTAATAATTAGTATAATTACACATTTAATCTTCAAGACTTACATATTTTATGAATTTAGTTTTATTGAAAATTTAATTTAATAAATTTAATCTTCCAATCAGAACATGAAATGTGTCATCGTATACATAAATTTTTTAATAACTTTTAATTTGTTTAATTTAATATTTTTCTCTACTTAGAAGGTGTAATTATTATTATATTTTAAAAGAATTTATAACTAATAATATTAATTATTATATTAAATAAATATATTGAAAATATTTATGTATTTAAAAGTTAAAAAAATTATTTAGGTGTACATACATTGACAAATTATATAAAATGCAATAACATTAAATTATTAGAAACAAAACATCCATTTAAATACAATATTAATTACATAAGAGTTAACGGTTATATGATGATAGCAGAGCTGAACATTTTTTTTCTATTGTGCCCGATGTTTCTACAATGCCCACATCGTTTTTTTCTGTTGACTTCTCCCGAATATCCATATCACAATGTATTCTAGTAGATTTTGGACGACCTGAGTCCCTCAATAGCAATGAATTTGATACAATTGTAAGCCAAGTTTTGAATCTCATTTGGGTCTCTTTCGTTTCCTATGGGCGGAAACTCAAATTCATATACCTTGAATACTTTTGAAAGTTGGTATACGGGATCAACATAATTTTTGTAGTCCAAATACGAATGTGAGCAAGTTGCAATGACATGAGAGCATGGATATTTGAGTGCTTGAAAGAAACCACAATCGCACCTCCTCTTTGCATATTAACTCTGAAAGAGTTAGCTTCAATCCCTTGTAGCGGACGTGGCATTTTGGTTACACGAAACAATTCACGGGTGCGAGAAGATTTGTAACTAACATCCCATTTGATGCAACCACTTTTTTCTGTAAATCAGCTACTAGTCTTGGGTGGTAAATATGGCCGTTTGCATCCAAGTAAGAGCTTGTCCACGAGCTTTGCAAAGAGTTGACCCAAACGAAAATAAGTCGTTTTAACGCCGTGACTGGTAAATGACGAGCCCCCTTTAAGGATGAATTTATTGCTTCAGCCAAGTTTGTTGTCATATGACCATAGTGATACCCCCCGTCATACGCATTTGTCCACATTTCTTGCTGATGTCCATAATGTACCCGCACCCCTTCTTATTTTTGCCAAACAGCTCTTAGCATCGACTCAAACCTTTGAGGTAAGAGTTCATAACCTAAGCCATTAGGAATATGTAATAGTTAATATGAAGTATAAATAAGTAATAAGAAATGATAGAAAAATTGGGAAAAGTAACATACCCATCCGCACGACTAACTGACGTTCATCGTTCTTTTTGTATTTTCCGTAATAGTTTGCAGCAATATGACGGACAGAATAACGATGTTGAACATGTAGAGGTCTATACATTGTACCCAAAGAGTCCATTGCTGCTTTTATCCCGGCTCCTCGGTCTGAAATAATGCATACTCGTTCCCTGGTGATAACATGTAAACATAAATTTTTAAGGAAAAAAGCCCAAGACTCAGTGTCTTCTCCTTGAACGAGGGCAAACGCAACAGGAAGAATATTGTGGTTTCCATCTTGGACCACAACCAATAATAAAACTTGCTTGTATTTCCCATACAAGAAAGTACCGTCAATTTGGACAACTGGTTACAGTACTTGACTGCATTAATACACTGAGGGTAAGTCCAAAAGACACGATAAATGGCAGCGATCGCGAACCATTCGATCATCACGTAATGATGTTGAGTTTCGAACTCAACAATTTTCTCGGGATTGAGTCTTTGCACAACATGAAACCAACTGGGCAGCTCGTTGTAATAGGAATCCCATTCGCCATGAAGTTTGCAAATGGCATTCTTTTTTGCCAACCACGCTTTTTATATAAGACAATGTACCCATATTGTGACTGTATAGCAAAATCAACACTGCAACAACTATTTGAGAGCTTTGCTTCACAATGGGCATGATTGCTTGGCAAATAATGTTGGAGTCCAAGTTGGGATGATCCTGGTTTATACCTCTTGCACAACATGTATGAGGACCGTTGTATCTGGTTAGTTCCCATAAGTTGTTCTTCCTCTTCCTCTTTGATACACAGACCATCCATTGACATCCGTTGCACGTTGGAAGCAGTAGCAGACATTTTCTCCGTGTTAGATCGATCAACTCGGGACTAAACTGAGTTACGAATATTGTAACTCTTTATTGCCATCATTGCTTCCTCCTTCGATGCGAACTCCATTCCAATATGTAAATTACCGTCTTTGACTGATGATTGAAGTCCATAGTTGCCAACATCAGGAAGATCTGGAAATTCAGGCTCATACATTGCATCATAATCAGCCTCATACATATGTACAGGAAGTTTGGCTAGTGTTGTATTTATCGGAACGTCATCCTCGTCATCATCAGAATGTACGTTAAACTGTGGTGAGTCAGGTTCAACGAATAATCCCGTTTCAGCACCATCTGCACTGGTTCCCGAAGAGGTTCTTCGGTGAAGATGAGGGTTCCTCCGATAATCCAATGTTGAGGTCAAATAAGTTCCCACTTGCGTGTCCTCCCTTGAACTTGAGGCCATTGTATCATGTGGATGTGAATAGACTTTCGTCTCGTTGGCATTTCGATATGTAAGTCGAAAAATAGCATATGAATGTCTGCCCCTAGAAGTAAAAGAGATGTTGCCATATGGATTATTGGTGAAGCCACGTGGGTTGAGATCATAAGCAGTTGCAGATGAATGCCTTCCTATTGAACTTGATGGCATGGCATCTGGAGTTGGATCCGCCATTAATGATGTGAAATCATTACAGATCAGTTGTCGGGCTATCAACTTGATCAGCTTGATATGCAATGCCAAAGTGAGATGAATATGAGAGACCACGAGAAGCACGAACCTCAAAAAAGTGGCATACATTTCAATAAGAGATTGTGAACTCCCATATAAGCATCAACCATCATAGAAACATCATCATCGTTTGAAAGCTGAAATGATGTATACGTGAGCGAAAAAAGTTCAGTAGGAAATCTGTACTGAAGTGAAGATAGTCTTCTCCGGCCTGCTACACGAATCTTTAACGAAATTTTTGTGATTAACTCCTCAATTGTGATGTTTCTCTTCAAGGTTAAGGGGATATAGTGATCTGACTCAAAAACAACCCCCTCTTCAGCTTCCTTAATTTCTCCATCATACAAACAACAGCAAAAGAGACGACTTATTTTCAGAGAATTTAAGAATTTAGAGTTTGTGAATTTGAGAATTGAAAGCTTGTGAACTGAAGTTTGTTTTGAAAGTTTTAATACGTTGCATATAATAGTGTATATAATCGGGGTACTATTTACATGAAGGCGCGTTCCCGGGGGAGCGCCTTCCATTATTTTGTCAGAGAATATGTTCATTGCCCTATTATGTCACTCATGTCCCTCGGGGATACTATTCATACCAGTACCTATTATTTCTCATGGGACTTGAAGGCGCGTTCCCGGGGGGCGCCTTCCATTATTTTGTCAGAGATATGTTATCATTGCCCTATTATGTCACTCATGTCCATCGGGGACCTATTCATATCAGTACCTATTATTTTCAGGGGACTTGAAGGCGCGTTCCCGGGGGCGCGCCTTCCATTATTTGTCAGAGAATATGTTATCATTGCCCTATTGTCACTCATGTCCCTCGGGGACACTATTTATATCAGTACCTATTTTCTCAGGGGACTTGAAGGCGCGTTCCCGAGGGGCGCCTTCCATTATTTTGTCAGAGAATATGTTATCATTGCCCTATTATGTCACTCATGTCCCTCAGGGACACTATTCATATCAGTACCTATTATTTCTCAGGGACTTGAAGGCGCGTTCCCGGGGGCGCGCCTTCTATTATTTTGTCAGAAAATATGTATCATTGCCCTATTATGTCACTCATGTCCCTCGGGGACACTAGATGGATTGCGAAATCAGGTAAATTATAACCAAAATGTAACTTCTTTTTAAAGTTCAGCAAGTTAAGAATAAAATTATACATATAGATTAATTTAAGTTCATAACTTAAATTAAAACGTTATGTGAAGTTTGAATAAATTAGATAAAATGTTATGGATAAATTGAATAAATGTGAAGTGATAAGTTGATTGTGACATTGAAATTGTATGGAATGAGCATCGAGATGTTTTTACGAATAAATGTGAAGTGATAAGTTGATTTTAATGTATATGTTATATATGTTAAT